CACGTATTTTACTGACGAAATAAGAATAGACTCTTTGTACTAGCCTATCGGCTAACAAGGCAAAATTAGTTGTGAAATAAATCTAGACTGTTTTAGAACGTAGTATCCATGCCAAGAGGGCGGGGGATGGAACCTATTAGCACAGCACCGCCCCTCAATCAGCAACAGTTAAGGATGACCGTATACCTCGTTTTTCTCGGATTATTCTGATTAGTGACTACAAAATTCAATTTCCTTACATTTTCACTGTTATCAAAGGAAAACAATTAATAATGTATGATTACTTTATAAAAAAAATGTTGTATACAAATATAAAAGTATATACGAAACTATATATATATTATCGATTTTATATTTTTTTCTTGTGAATGAAATAATGAAATAATTTTTGTGATAAAATAATTTCTGTATATAATAATGAATGAAATATTCAAGTGACATTTTGTTGGTATAGTCGAGTGTCTGTTTCTAACAATACCGCGGTAAACTGCGAGAACTACTCAACTTTTGAAGTCTTTTGTCTCGACATTATTGAAAGTTGTCTTGAGGGCCACTAGGAATATAGTGGGAGGACGCCTCAGGGTATTCGAGAATGGCGACGAGGCGAGGACGAAGAAGGACAAGGCGAGTTACATAGCGAGTGAAGAAGAAGAATGAATGGTGGCGAAGACTCCCTGTAGCTGTCCATGCGGGCGCACTATCCTAATTACAACGAGGTCTGGTATACTTCTTTTTTTTTTTTTCAAGTTGAAAGGAGCCGAAGTATTTGCCCGAGGCAATGGCGGGGGCTAGATTCCGGACCACTCTCAGGACTCATTTGGAGCGAAGTGCAAAAGGATCACCGTCGGCACATCGCCGTCGTTGATGGAGCAACTGAGAAACATGGAAGAATAGTAATAGGAGAAACGAAGAAGAGATGAAGCATGTTTCGTAGTATAAAAAAACGTCGCAGTTTTCCCAGCCATTCATAGCGTTGACCGATCTTTTCGGCCTCTTCTCACGTCTCATTCATATCTTACCCTATAAGATTCGATCGTCGATCCCTACCTGTGCCACCGGCGAAGACACTGGCGCACCATTCTTCTTTGACGCTCTCTCCGACGGTATGTATGCGCCAGACTTTTCGAATTCCATTGCAGAAGACTCACCGACCGCTATCAATATTTTATTTGTTTAGTATAACAAATATATTTTGTAGTCGATATCATCTGATATAATTATTACAACGTATTATTTATTACATTGTACAATTATTATAGTGTTTTGATATTATTGCATTAAATATAATGTACATTTTGAAGATTAATTTATATTATTATTAACATATTATTTTAGATTAATTATTTTAGCATGCATTTATATTTATAAATAGCAATATAATATATTATCGTGTGCATACGCAGTTTAAAAATATTTTCCAAAAAGAAATTTATAGCAAAAAATTTTAGCTAAGTATCGTATTATTATAAACTGAAGAATATCGTTTTTTTTTCTATACCAAGCAATTATCCTAACTTCTGAAGTAAAATTCTAGAATCGCCCTTCGGCTGTCAAACGCAGCGTAGATGGGCTAACGATCTTAATGGCTAGGCAAAACATTGACACCTTGGCGGCGCTCGGGAGACCACCTGGATGAGGATACCAAAGGGAAGGCGGGTAGGGATTGTTAAACACAGAATCAGCACGAGAGAAGTGGAAATCCTTATGAGAAAGTAAGTTGGACGAACGATGACAATGAGCTAACAGCGTGCGCAAACACGGCGGCTTGGGACAGAGCCGTACCTGGGCCGATGATCATGTACTTACGCGTTTCCTCTCAAACACCGACGACGTCAACAGCTCCGGAGACACGGCATCGAACACTGATCATGGGAAAAGGCAAATCCCGTTTGGTCAGGTTGAAATATTCGAACCGAATACTTGAGTAACACGTGCCAATGATCGAAGAATTGCTTTGCTAATACACTTATTAAAAAGCAAATATGTATGAAATATGTATGCTAGAAAATTGTTAGGATTAGGATTTATTACATGTCAAATCATTAATTTTGATTTATACACATTTCTTTGTGAGGATTTTGAATTTTTTTTTTTTTTAAGAAATCATATTGAGGAGAAAAAAGGCAGTATTGAAATAACAACAATAAGATATCGAACGGTCTTTGGTTTAATATGCTACAACAGAATGGGCATTCTGAGGAGAGAGAAGCCCGTATTTTCAGATTACATATTTATACATAAAATTGTATAATTTACAGTTTATTACTATATTAAACTATATTATCAGATTTTTTGTGTACAATATATGAAGCGATCGCACTAATTAATCCAAATTTAATTTATCCTGTGTCGCGATATTATTAAAATTTTATTTTTACGGTCCTAATATCTCCTTATTTACAATTATCGGAATCTTTTAATTTTATGATAAATGAAAACATTTATTTAGACCGTATTTAATTTTTTATGCTAATTATTTATGTGTTCCATGCATTTTTACAAAATTGTGATAAAAAGAAACAGAGAGATCAGTTCACAATCTGTAAAAGTTATCAAATCTCTTTTTAGAAAGTAAATGTAATATCAGTCAATTTTTTAATTTTCAGTTACTTTATTTTTTCAAAAAAAAAAATGTTTTTATCAAAATTTATAAAATAACTTTCGCGACGAGATTTTTAGCCTCTAAAAAGAATATTTAATTTATTGATTATACATACGCGACATAATGTATCAATATTTATAAAAATCTATAAACTATTTTCATATTTTAAAATAATAAAATAAAAATACAAATAATGATCAAAATTTGATATAAATAATGATATAAACATTTAGTTGCTATTTCTTGTTTTCTTCTTTTCCTATTTTTTCTTCCTTTTATTTTTTCTCTCTGTCTCTTTTTTTTTTGTCGAAACGGAAGCAAACGTGGATCGGTTCGATGAAAATGAACAATTAGTCGCCTGAGGGATGTTCTAAGATGCATATCACAGACGCGATGATAAGAAAATAAAAATATATTTTATGCGACGTATGTGTGCGTATAAATAATGATTTACGCATTAAAATTGCGTCGATGATACCTCGAACTTGTACATATGATTTACATGTTGCTACTGATATGAAAATTAAGTATGACAATACACACTTTAATAACTTTAGTTATTTGCAGATGATCGCACCGTAACTTTCTATTATGATCGATCTTTTAGAAAAGATCACGCGACTATGAACCGTAAGTACCAAAAAATTCTTCTGGTATTAGTTTTGAAGACTGCAAGGGCGTAAGATGTACATATACATATATACATATATATATATTATATATTCATATTAGGATATGATTTACAAATTTATAAAAATATTTGAAATGCAGTAGATCATGATATAAAAATATATCACATGCATTTAAAAATTATATATATATGTATTGATTGTCAAAATAGCATTGTGATGGATTTATGGAATAAAATAAATTTGAATTGATGAAATTTTTATGTGATATACCCTGTTGCCAATAGTCTTCAACAGTCTCGCATGTTATTATATTAATAAAAATGTCGATGTTGGCATAAAAAAAATTATGTAAAAGAATATTTTTTAAAAGAATAATATAGAGTAAAATATAATACTAGAAGGATCTCATTTGCGAGTGAAATAATTGCGATCAAAAGTGCGAAATTAACCAGCCTCGTTAAGTTTCTGTGTATGATTAGAGTTCTTATACCCTGCAAAGGTACGTCAAGAAGAGAAGCAGTAGCAACAGCGCGACACACGACACACGATATTCGTCGCGGGGATGCGTTCTTCTCCTTTTGCACGATAATAGTAATATTGTAATAATGAAACTCCGTACTCGCGAGCAAAATAATTGCACGTATGTACGAGGTCTTAATTGTGATATAGCCTTTTCTCTTTCATATACACTAGGCACTTTTAAGCTCAACTAGATACTTTAAATACTTTAATTAATCGGAGTGTAAAATCTTTATAAAAATAAAATAAATAATCTGAATAAATATGGATATACTAATATTATATATAATGTTTTACATATATAATATGATTATATTATATATTAATATAATATGATTATATTATATGTAAACATATATATAAGTAGTTAATAAATTATTATATAAGATTGTGGAGAGTATGAATCGCTCGCGAAGAGAGTCCTTTCAACAGTGTTGTGGAAGTTTTGTGTGCATAATATGATACATACACGCGCATCTAATTACGAGAGATCTAAATTACTGCGAGATCCAAAATATTGTGTTTCATTATGAATCTACAGCAAGATTGGATTCCTCCCTATTATCTATCTTCTTTCTTAGTTAATCAGTAATCTCTTAATCACTTTTCATTTTACACTGAGCATAGAACATGTAATGTTAAGTATTATAAGTGTTCATATGTTCAAACTACTATGACAAGCAAAATACGACGTGAATAATCATTGCTTAAAAAATCAATTTAAATTTTTCGTAAAATTTACCTGTGACTTTCATTAATTGTTCCAATCTTATATGTATTTTTATACTTTATGTAACAATCACTTATAGCAGTAGTGATTGTCACAATCTTATTCATATTGAGGAATATTATTTAAAAATTTGAATCTTTACTGAAAATCAAGCCAATTAAATCGTGACCATGTTCAATGTTAATAACGTATCGAAAGAAGAAATATCGAGCATAAAGAATATCACGTTTTTAGATTGAAGATAACCGTGATATGTAATCATTATCTCGAGAGTTATTTTACGTTCAATGTTAAATAATTGAGCCATTGAACTTACATAAAGAGAGATAATCCTACTTTGTTTCTCATATATAGAATCAAATACGCACGCGCGTTTGTAGGGCATCTTCGTGCGAAATCATAGTTTGTGTGAATATGCACGATTATGTGTATGTGGCCGTGAACTGCAACGGCGAAAGCCAGTGGACCAATAACGACGCAGTTTTTTTTCTTTGTTTCCTTTTTTTCTCCATTCTTGTTTCGTACGAAGTACCATTAAAGAATATCGAAGAGGTAATTGAAGTGTTGGGAGCATTAATGGCATTTCTATTTCAAAGTTATCGTAGAAGCTTAATGTAGATACTGTGATGCGGTATATCAGTCGGTTCGACAATATTAGTTCTCATCGTCGATACCAACAAATAGCCCGATCCTTGTTGCAGAGACATATTTCGTTAAAATTGTGCTCTTTAAATGATAATTAGAAGATAATCGGAAGATCCTTCTATCTCTTCCCTATATTTCTTCTTCTCAGGAAAATGGAGCCATCAGTAACTACGTTAATTTTGTAAGATGAAAGCGTCGTCTGGTAGCCCTTCTTCGGCTTTTTATGGATCTTCATAATTGTACAGATTACAGACGTAGGCGTAGATGTGAAAATACTTGTATCACATATTCGAGACCATTCATGTATTCGCGGAAAATCAGCCAGTCACGCAGATCACGGGACGTCATGTCTGTCATCGTTCGGAAATCAGATGTCATAACATCTCGAGTGACGTCCGGCCGTCGCGTTACACTACGTTCTTCTATAGCAACTTGGATCTCACACAGAACCTGAGAAAAGAGAAGTATCAGGACATTAAAAACGCTTATAATTGGAAAATGTATTATGATAAAATTTAATATTTTAATAAAAATTGCCAACATTAAAATATTTTGCAATTGTTAACATCTATGTAAAGTTCTAATTTTATATGTATATAAATGAAATTACTAATTTAAAATTATTTGCCACAAAAGTAACATATCTTGTATTTAAATGCGAGAATCAAGATAAATGTTGTTAATGATTTTTAATAGGCGATGACTGATTTCTGCAATCTTTCAAAATTTGTGTTTTCGAAATCGATGTACATAAAAAAAAACTAAAAAACGCAAGAAACTCCATTAGGAACTTGAGCGCGTTCAAAGCTATTTGTCGGAATGGTCAATAAAATGGCAGTTAGCGACGATCTTTAACGTCTCAACCTTTACGTAAAATGATCGTAAAACTTGGCGAAACATCTTTTATCGTACTTGCAGCAATAGAAGGCAGAATAATTTAGGCCAATTGTGCCGATGTTATTGTGAAAGTCGCGCACAGCAATTTTTTTTTTATATCGCACCGAGAAAGAGTTACGGGTCGAATACTCATGGTTCAACATAATTATTTAGGAAGATAACGGATTTAAGATAATCCCGAAACTGAACTTACCGCTCGAAGTTTCCATTCGGCTTCTGTGAATTTCTGATGATACTTAGGCTGATAATCCTTTTGATCCAAAACTACCTGCTCTAAGCCCACCGCATATTTCTGCATATATTCGTACGCATCGACGAGAGACGTGTTAATCTGAAAATATATAAATCCGAACATACTGTTAATCATCCATTTATAATTGTGTGTAATTATTCATGCACATGTACGTATCGTGAAAAAATATATACTATATTTTAAAGAAAAAGAATATATACATTAGAAATATGTGTATGTATAACAGATTAGTCAATAAGTAACTTTAATTTTACCTTTAACAATCAAGGTTGCAAAAATTAAGGTACTTATTGACTCACTTACATATATATATTTCCAATAAATTATTGTATTGTAATAGATTGTAAATAATAATTACGCAGACAAATAAAACAACAGATTAAAACAAATTAATTGATAACGTACATCCAATTTGTTAAGATGTTCTTTATCCAGTTCCTCTCCCAGTTCTTTGGGTATTTCAGATCGTGTAGGCAGCCAAGCGTAATGATATTTCCTCCACAAATTGTGGACGCTGGCGAAGTCCGTCTTGAAAGTTTGTCTGATCTGCAAAATCATAGAAGAAAAACATGAGCACGATTAGATATATCGTTTCTCTCAAAAAAGGAGCCGCAACATCGAAGAAAGATATGCGAGATTATCAAATTTCCTCATCTTCGTCTTCTTAGTGCGTGTAATCTCGCGGAAATTTGAGAAAAATTATTCTGCGTGGGTGTCGCATTA